TTGGAAATGTGCGGCCTTGAACTGGGTGCCGTTGTCAGATATAATCTCCTTGGGGACGCCGAAGCGGGTAAGGATGTTCTTGTGGACGAACCTCTGGCACCTGACCCCTATGATGCTGGCCAAAGGTTCCGCTTCGAAGGTTCAGGGCTGCAAGGCGTCCCGTCAGCCGTTGTACCTCCTTCACATTTCGTGGTGGCTCCATGTTAACAATGGCCTGGATCTTCTCCGGGTTTATCTCAATGCCCCTTCGGTTGACCATGTAGCCGAGGAACTTGCATCCCTGGACCCCGAAGGTGCACTTCTTGGGGTTCAGGCGGAGCTTGAACTTCTTCATGATTTCAAAAATTTCCCGAAGGTCGTCAGCATGAGTGGTAGATTGTTTGCTCTTGACGATCATGTCGTCGACATATGCCTCCATCGTCCGGCCGAGGACTGCTCTAAAGATTTTGGCTACCATCCTGGTGTATGTGGCGCCTGAATTTTTGAGCCCAAAGGCCATGATGAGGTAGCAGAAAATTCCCTCCGGGATCATGAAGGTCGTCTTCTCGGCGTCATCTTCATACATGAAGATCTTGTGGTACCCTCTGAAGGCATCCAAGAATGACATCAACTCGCAACCCGCCGTCTCGTCCACCAACTGATCAATATTGGGGAGAGGGAACGGGTCCATGGGGCACGCCTTGTTCAGATCAGTGTAATCAACACACATCCTGAACATCGGCGGCTTCTGGGCGAGGATGACGTTGTCCAGCCACGTTGGGTATTTCACCTCTTTGATGTGGCTGATTGAGAGGATCATGGTGACCTCCCCTTTTGACGAGGTCCCGTCAGATGACCTTTCGGCTAATGCCTGGCATGTCATCCGACACCCACGCAAAAATGATTGCATATGACCGCAGGACTTGGAGGATGTCGTCGCGTTGGTCCCGGGGGAGTTGCCTCCTAATTTTCAGGACTCGTTCTGGCCGAGAGGTGTCCAAGGGGACCTCCTCGACTTCCTCGGTTGGCTCGACATGTGGCCTCTCCTCGTCCTTGGCGACGGTGGTGGTGATAGTGTCTATCCTCTGTCCGACGTTTGCTGTAGGCTTTGTAAGCTTCAGGTAGCATGCTCTGGCTATCTTCTGGTTCCCCCTGGCATAGCCGATACCGCCGCTGGTAGGGAACTTCAAGCACAAGTGCCTCATGGAGATGATGGCCTCCAGGTCTTCTAGTGTTGGCCGCCCCCATATCAGGTTGTGGGCGCACTCAAGGTTGACCACCATGAACTCCATGTCAATTCTGGTGTTGGCCCCAGATCCTTGTTGGTGAAGGTGATCGCCTCTGTCCGTGGTTTCTTCGGCAGGGGGGAGCGTGGGACACCTCCCCAATGTATAGGGATTGGGCCCATTTCTTTCTCTAGGTGGCTGAGTCCCCCCAGTGTTGCCCCCCACAATGAGGTGGATGTGGTTCTTCTTCGGAGGGGGCTCCTCAAAGTCTTCGTCATCATCGCTGAGTCTGCCAATCTCACACTTCTTCGTAGAGGGTTCGTCCCCAGTTTTGTCGGTGTTTACCCACGTATTTTTGCGTGGGCCACCTTTAACAAATTGGGAGAGTTCCCCTGGCGAATTAGCTTCTTGATGGCTCTCTTCAGCGTGACACAGTCTTCTGTGTTGTGGGAGGTGTTCCTATGGTAACAGCAGTAGGTACCGCCCTGATGGATGGCGTAGATTTCCTTCACCGACCTAGGATCCCGTTCAATGAGATCATGTTCCTCGGCATAATCGAGGATGGAGCTGACCGAATGAGTGAGGGGGGGTCTTCGGCCTTTCCATCCTCAGCCGCCATGGGCGGTCCTTCTTGTTCTGTCCGCCAGACCCATGGCGGCTCTGTCCTCCTTGACCTCGGTCCCCAGCCGAGGGTGCGCCTGGAGCCGGCACAGTGTACGTCTTCTTGGAGGGGTGCCCTCCGTCCTTCTTGTGGCTGTGGAGCTCATCGGCCTCAGTGTATAAGTTCCCTCGCTAAAGCGCCTTCGTATAAGACCTTGGAGGGTCAGTGATGAGACTCCTTGCGTATAGGGTGCTGCGGAGGGCGCCCTGGAAAAGGACAAGGAACCAACGGCAGAGGTATTCGTCTAACGCGTTCACCATCAGCATGTTGTTCTGATAGCAGTTGAAGTGTTCCTGAGGGTCGGAGTGGCCATCATAGAGCTTGATGGCGTTTCCCCTGTACTTCTCGGGGATGGGGCCGAGAGTACCGTGGCAGTGAAAGGAGTCCTCGTCCTGACTTGGACGTTGGGGTCTCCTCGTCCCTCGGCCAGCTCCCTCTCCACGGCGCTGACCTTATGCATGAGCGTGTTGTAAGTAGGATCCCTGGAAGTGTTGATCGTAAGGATGGTGGCTGATTGTCTGGCCTCCATCTAGGCCAGCCTCCTTTCCAGTTGGGCGATGACCTCGTCCCGAGGGTCCTTGGCGGCCATAGTGGCGCCTTGCTGATTGCGCACGCGGGCTTCGTGAGCCGTGTTGATTCGATGGCGCGCATCGTCCGCGTGCAACTTGCCTTTGCCTTTATCCAGGCGGGGCCGATCTGCTGTCCGGGATATGGATCCCAAGCTTTCCCTCGGTGAGCCAGGCTCACGCTCACCAATCTGTCCCGCCACCCTCTCCGAAGCAGGCCGACAGCACGTGTCACCTAGCCTATTGAAGGCTGAGGCTTTTCCACGCGCAGGGGTCAGTCCAGCTCGAAGTGGGGAAGCAGGATGGGAGTAGGACGACGACGTGTCCTGGGGCACCACCCCTTCGTCGTTGCATAGCTTGATGGCCAACGTCTTGGGCTGAGGAGGCGGTGTAGTGTTCTCCCCAGTCCTTGGCATGAGTGCACTAAGGACGGTGGGGTTCTGGGCCAGACTGGCGATAGCTGAGAGTGCGGCCTGGAGCTGAGGGTCAACGGCAGGAGAAGGGGACTGCCCCGAGGCATTGTCTCCCTTCTCCAGGCGCTTCTTCTCCAGGGTGATGCGGGCGTTAGGGGCACCGCCGTTGAGCTGATGGCGAAGGTCATTCGTGAGGTCGATGGCCTCCTGGAAAACATCCCCACCCGCGGCCTTGTCGGCCGTAGCGTCCTCCTCATGTTCCCTGTCCTCTTGGGCCTGAGGGATTGTTTTGCAGAGGAGGTTGCGGTTGGACTTAATTTTTCCCATAATCAGTTAGATGTGCTTGGTAGCGACGAAGGAGGCTAACTTGATTGTTCTAGCTCTCAACGAGAGCACCAAATGATGGAGTATTAACTCCTAGAGAGAAGTGAGAGCTAAAGAGAGAAGTGCTATAAATGCTTGATATTAATGATTTGTGAACCCCCTACAACTACTCCCAAGGGGAGTATTTATAAAGGATATTAGAGTTGGGCTCCCAAGTCTTGGGCTTGGGAGGCCCATTTACAATTGCGCCACTATTGGACTGAGTACAAAATATGTAGAAGTAATTTAGTGTGAAGTCCGGTTCTGGAAGCTCTCTGTGGCCGACGAGGGTCTGGCCGACGGAGCCATGGCCAACGGAGACCCGACTGACGGGGACACCCGGTTCTCCTAGCTTCTGGACCATGTTCTGAGTTGATATCTTTCTGGCCGATGGAGGGTCATCTGGCCGACGAAGGCCCCACTGGGTGACAGCTGTGCCTTTCATTCTTCTGAGTATATGGGTCCTGGGGTCTAGACCCATATACTCCACCAGGTGCATTAGTCACATGTGATTTAAAAATGCGTCAAAACACTTTGTGTTAAAATTATTCATGCACAAAATCCCTCCAAGAGCAAATTTAACAATTTGGAAATAATTTCTTTTAATATTATGCTAGAATATGGGAAAAAGGTTCAAATAAACCCTTGTACTATTTGCAAACCGTCACTTAAGCCCATGTACTAAACAAAGTATCACATAAGTACGCTTACTTTACAAAATGGATCAAATTGACCATTTAATCAGCTTTTGACCTATAATAGCAGGTTTTTAATACTTAAACATTCTAAAACTTGTTAAAATTTGAAGAAATATATACAAAAAATGTGAAAAATTTCAGAATATCAAAGTCAATATTTTTTAATTTTTAAAAATATTGTAAATTCGACATCTATTTAAGAGGTTTTTAAAGTTTTTATTTTTTCTTTTTTTCTTTTCACATTATTTTTTATGTTTTATAATTTTTTTAGTTTTTTAGTTTAAGTTTTTAAAAATTTTATCTACTTTTATATTTACATTATTTTTATATTATTATTAGATTATTTATTCCGATTTATATGATTTTTTGTATGATTTATCAATATTTCTAATTTAATTTTAAAAAAAATAACCTGCTATAGCAGGTCATAGGCTTGGTTGATTCTATTCTAAAAGTAGACATATGATACTTTTTAGTACACGGGCTTAAGTGACAAATTGGAAATAGTAGAAGAGCTTATTTGATCCATCTTCCTAGAATATGCAAGTAAGTTTGTCAAAATATCTAAAATTTGTAAAAATGTTAATCATTTACTTCATATCTTTTATTTGGATATTAAATTTGTTCATTGAGAGGTACTCTGCATGAATAATTATAACACATGAAGGTCTGACGCGTTTTTTAAATCACAAAAGAATTTATGCGCCGAATTTATATAATCCATTAAACCCGAAAAAATGTAAATATACATGAATACATTTGAATTTGATGTAATAATAATTTGTTTGGGTAAGGATTCCTTAATTGTAACACCTTTCCCAAATTTTTATTACTTTGTACTACCTCCATTCTTAAATAAATGCAATGTGTTGAGCTTTTACAATATTCACATGTTCTACTTTGACCACGGTTTATTTATTAATGTATTATTATATATTTTTGTAAAAAATATTATTGAATCCGTCTCATTGTAAATTTTCAAAATCTATATTTTTAAATTTTTTACTATTAGGGAATTACATATACATACATACACATATATATATATATATATATATATATATATATATATATATATATTAGTTATCAAAGTTGTGCATCAGCAAGTGTGAAATGTTGACCGTTGCATTTATTTAAAAACGGAGTATTATTATACATATCATTTTTTCCCATACCTTCAGCTCTTAACTTCTCTTGTCTTCGTCAATCTATACTCTCTTGGTCTCTATTTTTTTGAAGAAAGGAGAATTAATTATCATTAATAGCTTCATTGTTTAGTACATGATAAATAAAATTAGGTGGCAAAACAGTCCAAGAGGTATAATCAGACATAGAACAAACGGCTTGGGCCAAACCATGAGCTGCCTGGTTCGCAGAAAAAGAAATCTCCATGAAACTCGATCGTAATTCTCTAATATCTCCTGCTATGACTCCCGCCAAAGAATCGCTTGAGCCATTCTGAATTTCCGAGATCGACTTGGACGCATCTGATTCAACCTCAATAAGATCCCACCCATAGTCTTTCGCCCAACTAAGCGCTTCCCGGATCCCAACTAGCTCCGCTTCCCATGGAGACAACTGACCTTGCCAAGGCTTCGAAACTCCTGCCACGAACTCCCCATAGGCATTTCGAATCAACCATCCCAGCCCGATACGATCATGTTTGACAGCCGCATCAACATTCAATTTCAGTCTTCCAGCCGAAGGCCTTTTCCAGACTGAAGCTCCGACCGAAACCCGGTTTCCTTGCACCCGAAACCCCTGACTTCCAAATCTCAACAAAAATGTTAGCCTTGATTAAAATCATCTTATCCCCAGTCCTAACTCCCTTCCAGATTCTGTTATTTCTTTCACACCACAATCCCCAACAACCCCACACCAGTTTGTGTAAATCTTCCTTTTTCTTTGTATTGAATTCCACTTGAATCTGATCCATGAAGCTTGATACAGAAGCTGACACCCAGCTCCATCCCACAGCTCGCCAAGCCTCCTGAGCTACTGGACAGTAGTAAAACAAATGAATTAGTGATTCATTTGCTGCTCCACAAAGTCCACAGGTCTCGGCACAATCAACTCTTCTCAACCTCAGATTCACCGTCGTCGGCAAGAAGCCGCAGCACAGCTGCCAGGAAAAACTCTTGATTTTGGGAGGTAGTTTCCACCCCCACATCGAAGTCCAACCAGCCCAGACGCCATTGACCGTCTCTCCCACCAGGGCCCTGTAGCAGCTACGGACCGAGAAGCGTCCAGACTCTTCCCATCTCCAACAAACCTTGTCGGGGATCCGCCTTAAACTAATAGGAATCCCCTGGATCAAAAGACCATCGCGATCAGTAAAAAGATCCTTTATCAAATCCACATCCCATTCTGATCCATCCACACTCCGAAGACTCGCCACTGAAGCATCCTCCAGACCCAGAATCGGGTCCGAATACACCCGCGGACAGTTTCTGTCGGGCAGCCAAGGGTCTCTCCAAATGTTAATAGCATTCCCTTGACCCACTCTCGAGTAATAGCCATTCATAATGATGTCCTGTGTTTGAAAAATACTCTGCCACATAAAAGAGGGGTTAGAGTCCAAATTAGCAGATAAAAAATCCCTATCCCCAAAGTAACGCGCTTTAAAGACCTTCCCGACCAGAGAATCAGGATCTCAAAAAATCCTCCATGCCTGTTTAGCTAACATGGAAAAATTAAATTCTCGGATTTTCTTAAAACCCATCCTCGTAGTTTTTTTGGCCGACACAAGTCCTCCCAATTGCTCCATCTAATCCCCTTATTAGTCTTCCCTTGCCACCAAAAACCATTTAAAAGGACTTCAATCTCCTTACATAAATCCTTCGGAGGAAGAAAAACATTCATGGCGTATGTTGGCATGGCTTGGATAACTGACTTTAAAAGCACTTCCCTACCTGCTCCGGATAAGAATAGATTATTCCAACTCTGAATACGGTTTATCGTTCTTTGCTTCAGGTAGGATAAAATGGCCCTCTTATTTCTCCCGATTAAAGAGGGTAAGCCCAAATAAAGTTCCTCACTCCCAGCCAAACCCACACCCAACATCTCTTTCAAACCCTCTTTGCAATCCTCCGAGACATTGGAGCTGAAGAAAATTTTAGATTTTTGCAGATTTATTACCTGTCCCGAGGCAAGCGCATAGTCATTCAAAGTCTCCTTCACAATAGAAGCCTCCCCATGCGTTGCTTTGAAAAATAACAGGCTGTCATCGGCAAAAAATAAATGAGTAATTATAGGGGCTCCACGAGCAACCGCCACACCGTGCAATCTGCCTGCCATCTCATGACTCTTTAGAAGAGAACTCAGACCTTCTGCAATTAAAATAAATAAATATGGGGACAAAGGATCGCCCTGTCTCAGCCCACGAGTGGGTAAAATGGGCCCTAGCTCAGAATTATCAAAGGGAATAGAATACGAGACAGATGAAACACACTCCATCACCAGACTAATGCACCGATCATCAAAACCTAGATGGTGAAGCATACCCTTCATAAAAGTCCACTCCACCCTGTCATAGGCCTTACTCATGTCCAATTTTAAGCTAACATACCCTACATTCCCTTGATTTTTATGTTTCAAATAATGCTGAGACTCAAAAGCTATCATGATATTGTCAATAATAGATCTACCCGGGATAAACGCGCTTTGTTGCTCAGAAATACATAAGTGCAAAACACCTTTCAATCTATTGGCCAAGACCTTGGAGAAAATCTTGTAAATGACATTACAAAGGGCTATGGGTCTCCAGTCCGCCATTACCTCCGGATTGTCTTTCTTAGGAATTAAAACGATATTTGTATGATTAATATTTTCCGGAAGCTTACCTGAATGGAAAACATCGCGGCAGAACTTCACCACATCTGGCCCCACCACATCCCAGTAGTGATGGAAAAAGCTCGGACTCAACCCATCCGGACCGGGAGATTTGTCCGGATGCATGTCGAAAATGGCCGCCTTGACTTCCTCTCCAGTGATAGATCTAAGAAGAGCAATATTATGGGACGCCTCCAGTCTCCTGGACACACAGTTTAGCACAAAGTCACCTGCATGCTGCGCAGAAGAGAAAATTTCAGTAAAATAATTCTCTATTAGCCTGCCAATCTCCTCTCTGTCAGATTCCCATCCACCTCCTTCCACCCTGAAACCCTCAATCCGATTCTTCCTCCGCCGTTGCTTCACAGAGTTTTGAAAATACCGGGTATTGAGATCCCCACCCTTAAACCAAAACTCTTTAGCCCTCTGTCGCCAAAATAAGTTTTCTCGTTCAAGAAGATCCAAGTACTCCCGTTACACCCTTTCAACAACCCCCAGGTGCCAATCATCCGAGAACCTACGTAAATACTCCAAACGTTTTCTGCAAAAACTGATTCTTTTACCCAAATCTCCAGCTTTTGTTCTCCCCCACTCTCCAACCGACTTGCTACAAAATTCAATATGCTTCATGATACCAGCACCAGCCCCCAAACTCCAACTCTTGGCCACAATGGAGCGACAATCTTCATCCCTGAGCCAAATATTCTCGAACTTGAATTTGCTACGGCGATGGAACCTTCGGGACGTAGTCAATTTGATAAGCAAAGCGAGATGATCACTCGGGGGCCCCTCCAAAGATTCCGCCTCCGCACCCCCAAACAAATCAAGCCAATCAGCTGACACCAAGATCCTGTCAAGTTTTTCCTCCACCCAATTTGGTGACCCCTCCACCTTTCCTAAGTAAACTGATAACCTTGGAAAGGGAAGTTTTGTAACCCGCTCGCCCAGACAGCTTCCCGAAACCCCCTAAGTAACCAGGGAGGATGAGGGACCCGACCACGTTTGTCGGATGCCAACATAAGGTCATTAAAGTCACCCATCACAATCCAAGGAATATGGTGACCCAAAACTTAAAGATTTCAAAATATCCCAAGACTCCCTTCTCCTGCTCCGTTCTGGACACCCATAAAATCCGATGAAGCGCCACAAGGGGTTGTTGACCTCCAGGTGCACATTTGCATCTATAAAGTTTGGCGATGAACCGCGTATCTGAACTTGTAACTCATCTCCCCACATCAAAGCCAACCCACCTTTGTGCCCAATGCTATCAACCACAAAACACGAACTAAAACCAATAACCTTCATAACACTTTCCACTTTAATCCGAGAGGCAAAAGTTTCCATTAAAAAAACTAAAGACAGCTTCTTCAGGTGAATCGAATCCACCAAAGCTTGAACTGCCGCAGAATTGCCGAGCCCACGATAGTTCCAACTAAAGCAACTCATTGTTCTCAGCGGGCTTGACATCCAGGTCCCGCCGCTTCCCCGTTTTTTGACAAATTTACCTCCATAGCCGTAACATTTAGCCCATGAACTCCCGTCTCTGCGGAGTCCGCTTTCCTCTTCTTCAAAAGAACGCCGGAGGAAAATGAAAGATCCACCGGATCATCCTCCCCCGAGCCTGAGACCTCCCCAACCCTTTTCACCGAAACATCCCGTCCAGCCCCACTGCCTTACATTGTTTCAACCAGAAATCTGCCATCCCCATCCACCAGCCACCTACTATTACGTCCCAAAAACCCTCTCCTGCCACCTGCTTTTAACCAGGGCCCGAACTGTCTTTGTTTGTCATCCCCAGCCACCTCAAATCGCCTAGGGCAGAATCTGTCCACGTGACTCATGAGACCGCAAATAAAGCAAAAATGAGGCAGCCTCTCGTATTTCACCTCCACCATTATAGAGTCAGCCCCCCTCTTCAATGTCAATCTGCTTTTTAACGGTTTGTTCACATCAAGAGATATTCTGATGCGCATGAACTCCTTGCACCCACCCTTGAAATTGTTACTATCCGCTTGCACGAACTGTCCCAACCGATTTCCAATTAGTTCTGCTGTCTTTTCTATGAAATAACGCATCGGCAGTTTAAAAATCTGAACCCAAAAGTTTTCATGGGTCAAAGGAACTGTAGCCGGAATATCGTCTCCTTCCAATTGCCGTAATAGCAAAAGTTTATTTTCGTAGGACCACGGCCCATCCATCAAGATACGTTGGACATCTGCTAAATGAAAAAACTGAAAAAGAAATCTTCTATCTCCCACTTCTCGTATATGCACCCCCTTCCCTGGACGCCATACATCAGCAATTGCATCGCGAAAGAAGGAGAATTTTATTGACTTACCCGTCAATAAACGACCAACAATACAAAGTTGTGCCTTCTCCGAAAAGTCTTGAACCGCAGCATCGTCTAACTCCACTTCAGCCGAGTCATCATCCTCTAAATTCAACCGGGCATACATATCTTCCATGTCTTCAGCCATGCAGACGACAACGAACGGAAACCAACGTGAGCAGTGTGCGCTCAAAGATCCACACGATCAAATAATTATTATTATTATTATTATTATTGTTATTATTATTATTATTATTATTATTATTATAATTATTATTATTACTATTATTACTACTATTATTATTATTACTATTATTATTGTTATTTTATTATTATTATTGTTTTATTATTATCAAATAATTATAATTATAATAATAATAATAGTTATTATTATTAATTTATTATATTTATTATTGATAGTTATTATTATTATTGATATCATTATTAGAATTATTATTATTAGTATTAATATCATTATATACCGGTTTAGAAAGTTAAGATCACATTAGAAGGATTCAGATCAAATTAGATGCATTCAGATCAGATCAGATCAGAAAGATTCAGATCAGATCAGAAAGATTCAAATCAGATCAGAAAAATTCAGATCAGATCAGATCTTAAAAAAATCAGATCAGAAACATTCAGATCAGACGAAGAGAACAACTTCTAAGTGTTGTATTTGATGTTTACTTTTTCAAATGTTAGGTATCATTTTCAAATTTACTAATTAAATACCTAGCATTGTAGCATTTTACAAATTAAATGGTTTGATATTAGTAATAGTTCTACATTAGAAATAAACAATGTCCAAATATATTTACTACATTCTTGCAATTCTATTTAAACAATTATACGGAGTACTATATATCTTAGGGAAAATGAAAATTAATAATCCAACATTTTAGCGGTCTTCATTCGTAGGTCTCACTTTATCGTTATTCATGAATAATCCAACCTTTGCATCTCATCTTCATTTGTTGGTCTGTGACCGGTTGATGACCTGCTATTTCAGGTTTTTTCATTTTCTTTGCAAATCATTCAACCATAAATCCCACCTTTCATAAATTTTCACCTAAGCGATCCCAAATGTCATTTTTCTTTTTTCTTCCTAAAACTTTTTCCTTTTTTATTTTTATCGTCTTGACTCTTTTATTCCCCCTTTTTGTCTTCTTATTTTTATTTTTATTACTTTTCATTTTTTTTTTATTTTTTTCAATGTTTATGTATTCTATTTTTCCTTCTTTTTCTTCTTCCCGTTTAGTATTTCTTTTTCATTTATATATATTTTTTCGGATTACTTTCCTTCTAAAAGATCTTTTTCTCGCCGTACTAACTTTTTACTTTATTTTCTTTTTATTTAAACTTATTTATTTCCTTTTTCCTTTTCTTACCTTTATTTATCTGAATAGGAGTATAATGTAAAAGTAGGCATGGACTCGGGCCGGGCCTAGGCTCAGACGGGCCGCCAGTTTGTAACTCATGGACCCGGAACCGACCCGAGGTTTGGACGGGTCCGGTTCGGGCTGGGCCACCCGCCCGGGTCACGGGTTCGGCCACCCGCCGGACCGGACCGGGCCGGTAAAAACTATTTTTTTAATAATTTATACTTTATAGTTTTATACAAGTATTAAAAACAAACTTCAAGTGCATTTATTTGAAATGAAATAGGAACTACATTTGAAAATTAAGAGAAACATACAATATGAAATACATTTTGTAAATTGTAATCAATCGGAACTTCCCACACCTCCCGATCCTTTGGCTTTGTCACATGACTTAATATGCTTCATTGCCATCCCGTATCCGCCTGAAACCCTCATGCTACATTTTTTCCCGCACCATTTACAAGTTGTGTACCACATCCCGGTCCTCGGGTCCTTCTGCTTATCAAAATTATACCGTATAACGGCATATTGACTTTCCATCTTAAAAATGGTAGATATAATAATTCTACAATAGATGGAGATGAAGATGGAGAATGGAGATTAGAGATTTGATGTTGGAGAAGATGTGTATAAAAATGTTAGAAAATAAGAGTATTTATAGAATTTTTTGTACCCCCATCCCCCACCCACCCCCACCTCCAACGGCTCTATGCCTCTTTTGATTCAAATTTCAAACAACCAAACTACCAAAGTGGCTATATAGCCGTTTGGGGCTTTTGATTTCAATTTTTTTGTATGTTTTAGTTTGAATAAATTACATAATGTAAAATTAATTAATTAATTTTATGAATTCAGTAAAAAATGCTACATATAAAAAAATGAACGTATATTTATTTGAAATATGAATTACAGGTTTACAAGTAATAATTGAGAATTGAAGGTAAAATTAAAACATGAAATACTAATCAATCATTCAATCGGAATCTCCGACATAGGTAGAGACACCCCCGGTTGTAGATTCATCCATAAAGTGTTGGGATGGGGTGATGTCAATTTTTTGAGCTCTACGGGCCGCTTTCAACCAATCGTGGTAGCATATAAACATCTCAAGAGATTCTGCGCTCAACCTCGTTCTACATT